AATTTCTGGGAAATAAACAACTATTTGTCTTGTACACAGTGTTTATCCTAAATCTTACAGTATAAAATACAGTACTAACAGCATAAAAAGTAAAGTAAAACATGAAATACCGAAATAAAACAATAAAATAAAGTCATTACAAAAATGTGATGTTGATATTCAGTAGTAAGTTCGACTTACGTCCATTTGGACTTACGACCGTTTTCTCGGAACCGAACTCGGTCGTAAGTCGGATGGTATGTATATTTTCATTTCAGGGATTTTCTTTCTCTTTGGGTCACCCTGCCTAGGTGGGAGACGGCCGACTTGTTAAAAAAAAAAAAAAAATTGTTCGTAGTATGTATCACTGATAATACATTAATGTGGGTGTCTATGGGAAAATGGTTCTTGCTTTGTTTTAATTTTTTAATGTATTGTTTCTGTGGAATGTGTTTGTATCATCTTTTAATATTTGAATTTCTCCCTTAGCTTCATAATCAAAATATCTTCCATAAATTCTGTTAGTTTGTTTTTCTTTCTTTGTTTCTTTATATGTAATGGCTTTTGATTCCAACTTGGGCAATGCGGCTTTCTTCAGCTTGCTGTTTCTCTAATCAGTCTTCTGCCACACATCTTTTTCACAGTTAGATTGATTCACAAAGCTATAAAAGCATTAAACACTACGAAGTGTATGCCCTAGGTAATGTACCTTCTTGTGTGCCAAGTGTACCTTTTAGAGTTTGCACTTACACAGGTTCACCTGTTTCGCCAATCTCTCCCCCGTAAGATTTTCTCATCTCGGAAAAATGTTCTGTCCTGAAGACTGGTGACTACACCAATCTTCCCTATCATCCTGTTGTTCTAACTATTCTATATCAAAAGTGTTTTTACTTCTTTTGTTAGATAACTTGAAAATTGATTCTTTTTTAACCTCTTATCCCACTCATTTTGGTCAATCTTGCTTTGAAATTTCAACTAATCTTTTGTATAGCTTTTGGTAGTTTCAAAGCTTTGACAGAACTTGGCGCAAATTTTCCTCTCCAATCTGTGGCCTTTCGCTCTCCACACATCTAAAAAATTCTTTTCTACATTAGATTTTCTCTCTGATAGATTCTTTAACTTTATTTTACTTCACATAATCCTTGAATTAATACATTTATAGTCTCTCTTTTCCTGCCATAGCTTTCCTTCAGCATTATTGCTACTCCTTCTTTAGCTCTAATACTATTAAAACCCCTGACTTAATCCATTTATTCCTCTCCACTGAAACTCACCCACCCCCCCTTCAGCTTTGTTTCACTAAAGCCGGGATATCCAGCTTCTTCTCATTCATGACATCCACAATCATCTCTTCTTATCATTAACACAACATCCACGCACATTCAGACTTCCCACTTTTTTCTTATTCTTTTTAGTAATTATTACAGGAAAAGGGGTTACAGTACTAGCGCATTGTTCCCGGCATTTTAGTTGAATTTTTACAACACGCATGGCTTACGGAGGAAAGATTCTTATTCCACTTCCTCATGGATATAAAAGGAAAAGTAATTAGAACAAGAACTAAGATAAAATCAGAGAAAACTCAGATGAGTGTGCATAAATAAACGTGTACGTGTATATTTAGTGTGACCTAAGTGTAAGTAGAAGTAGCAAGACGTACCTGTAATCTTGCATATTTATGAGACAGACAAAAGACACCAGCAATCCTACCATCATGTAAAACAATTACAGGCTTTCGTTTTATACTCACTTGGCAGAACGGTAGTACCTCCCTGGGTGGTAAGTTACTAAATGCTGTAAAGAATTTTTATGAGGATAGTGAGGCTAAGGTTAGGGTGTGTAAAAGAGAGGGAGACTACTTCCAGGTAAAAGTAGGTCTTAGACAGGGATGTGTAATGTCACCATGGTTGTTTAATATATTTATAGATGGGTTGTAAAAGAAGTACAGTGGACCCCCGCATAGCGACCTTAATCCGTGCAAGAGGGCTGGCTGTTATGCGAAATGTTCGGTATGCGAATGAATTTTCCCCATAAGAAATAATGGAAATCAAATTAATCCGTGCAAGACACCCAAAAGTATGAAAAAAAAAAATTTTACCACATGAAATATACATTTTCCTACACACAAAGAGAAGGATACATGCACAATAGTAGAGTAGTACATGCACAATATATATTGTGCATGTACTACTCTACTAAATGAGAATAAATGACACTTACCTTTATTGAAGATGCAGCAATTTACTGATGAGACACTATGTCCTGGGGAGTGCCTTTTCTCCTGAGTACTGTAGGTCCTGTTTGGTATTTCTTCCAGAACAGGCCTTATCACACTGTGTATGCCACTACGATTCTTAATCTCTCAAACCACTTTGCTGGCTCTAAATTCACCAATATGAGCACTATTTCCAGGCATTTTCCCTGTTCACCTGGGTGTTAGTCGACTGGTGTGGTTGCATCCTGGGAGACAAGATTAAGGACCCAATGGTAATAAGTTAGACAGTCTTCGTGACACTGACTTTTTGGGTTTATCCTGGGTGCAAAACTCTGGGGTTAATTGTTGTTTGGTATTCTCAATAAGCCACACCAACAACGGTGGTACAGCAGCAGCAGCAGCTGACGGTGGTACAGCAGCAACAGACGATGCTACAGCAGCAACAGACGATGCTACAGCAGCAGCAGACGATGCTACAGCAGCAACTGACGCTGTTACAGCAAGCAGCAGACGATGCTACAGCAGCAGCAGCAGCAGCAGACGATGCTACAGCAGCAGCAGCAGCTGACGGTGGTACAGCACAACAGACGATGCTACAGCAGCAACAGACGATGCTACAGCAGCAACAGACGATGCTACAACAGCAGCAGCAGCAGCTGACGGTGGTACAGCAGCAACAGACGATGCTACAGCAGCAGCAGACGATGCTACAGCAGCAGCAGCAGCTGACGGTGGTACAGCAGCAACAGACGATGCTACAGCAGCAGCAGACGATGCTACAGCAGCAGCAGACGATGCTACAGCAGCAGCAACAGCTGACGGTGGTACAGCAGCAACAGACGATGCTACAGCAGCAACAGACGATGCTACAGCAGCATGCAGACGATGCTACAGCAGCAGCTGACGATGCTACAGCAGCAGCAGACGATGCTACAGCAGCAGCAGACGGTACTACAGCAGCAGCAGCAGCTGACGGTGGTACAGCAGCAGCAGCTGACAGTGCAGCAGCAGCTGAGGGTGGTACAGCAGCAGCAGCAGCAGCTGTACCACCAATAGTAGCGATGGTTGATTGGGGTTTATTATACAACCTGGCCAGCTCGGAGACACGCACTCCACTTTCATACTTATCAATGATCTTTTTCTTCATCTCCATAGTAATTCTCACCCTTATTGCTGTAGGGTTGGCACTAGAAGCTTTCTTGGGGCCCATGGTCACTTATTTTCCAGAAAAAAATCACCAAAAACACTGTAATAATACGAAATGTTCCGATTGTATGCTTGGATGTTACCGCGGAGGCTGGCTGGTAAACAATGCCACCGGCGGAACATGTGAGCGTGGCTCAGGCCTCACATTGGACGCGTCTCGGACGAAGGGCGGTGAGCGGGTTTTTGGGCGGTATGCGAGGCAAAATTTTTGCGATCAAAGCGTCCGGTATGCGGATTGTATGGTATGCGATGCGTCCGGTATGCGGGGGTCCACTGTAAATGCTAGTGTGTTCGGGAGAGGGGTGCAATTAAATTGTGGGGAATTAAATACAAAATGGGAAGTGACACAGTTACTTTTTGCTGATGATACTGTGCTTATGGGAGATTCTAAAGAAAAATTGCAAAGGTTAGTGGACGAATTTGGGAATGTGTTGAAAGTGAACATAGTTGAAAGTTGAAAGTGAACATAGAAAAGAGTAAGGTGATGAGAGTATCAAATGATTTAGATAAAGAAAAATTGGATATCAAATTGGGGAGGAGTATGGAAGAAGCGAATGTTTTCAGATATTTGGGAGTTAACGTGTCAGCGGATGGATTTATGAAGGATGAGGTTAATCATAGAATTGATGAAGAGAAAAAGGTGAGTGGTGCATTGAGGTATATGTGGAGGTAAAAAATGTTATCTATGGAGGCAAAGAAGGGAATATATGAAAGTATAATAGTACCAACACTCTTATATGGGTTGAAGCTTGGGTTGTAAAAAGCTGCAGCGAGGAGGCGGTGGAGGCAGTGGAGATGTGTGGTGTAAATATTATGCAGAAAAATTCGGAGTGTGGAAATTAGGAGAAGGTGTGGAGTTAATAAAAGTATTAGTCAGAGGGCTGAAGAGGGTTTGTTGAGGTGGTTTGGTCATTTAGAGAGAATGGATGAAAGTAGAATGACATGGAGAGCGTATAAATCTGTAGGGGAAGGAAGGCGGGGTAGAGGTCGCCCTCGAAAAGGTTGGAAGGAAGTGGTAAAGGAGGTGTTGTGGGCAAGGGGTTTGGACTTCCAGTAAGCGTGCGTGAGCGTGTTAGATAGGAGTGAATGGAGAGAAAGTTGTACAGTGGCTGGCATTTGTTTTGAAAGATACTTTTGTTATTTGTACAGTACTGTGTATTAATTGTACTATTGTACATTTATTTTTTTCGACTAACCGGCTGTATCCCACTGAGACTGGGTGACATAAAAAAAAAAGTTTTTCTTTTTAAATTTAGCAATTTTTACAGGAGAAGGGGTTATTAGTTCCTTGCTCCCAGCATTTTAGTTGCCTCTTATGATCTGTGTGGCTTATGGAGGAAGAATTCTGTTCCACTCACCCATGGAAAATTGTTGTACTGTATATGTATTGGTGTACAGTCCATGCAGACAACAGGTACTATACATATACAGTCATACCCTGCCCTACATCATTAATTGGTTCCAAGAGCCGTGACGTAAACCAGACGTAATGCCTTAAAAATGCCTTAAAATGATGACAAATGCTATAAAACTAGTGTTAATATCCTCTATCATAACCACATTATGCTTGGAATAACTAGCACTATTCTTCTTAGGACCCATGGCTAACACAGACATGAGAATAATCACAAAAATAATGGAAATAGCAAAACAAGCACATGATTGCAGCAGGGGCAAAAATGTATGTGGCATTTCCTTGTTTTGAATGAGAAGTGGCAGCAATGCTTCCATACACCAAGATGGCAGAACTATGTAATGATGGACATTTGTTTATAATTTTTCAATGTAAATATTTTATTGTATATATACAATTTCTGTTTTTTTTATGTGTTTTTATTGTATTTTAGATTTTTTTTAGCTTCTTTTATCTTTTATTGTTAATTTTTATGTATTTTATTTATTTTAAATATATTTTTAAGAAAAAATTTATTAATGTCATGTCCTTTAATTATGACTTAGGTGACATTGCTGAGTGACGTAATGTTGGACATAATGATGTTTGCTGAACTGAAATTTACTCTAGAAAAGTGGTGTAAAGGCAGATTTGACATAAGCTAAAATGACGTAAAGCGGGGTATGATTGTATACGTATAGTACATGGGTGAGCATAATCCCACCTTATGAAGCTGCTTGCCTTAGTGCACATACCTGTATATTAACTTTGGATAGGGAATTGGTATTCTTCCCTTTCTTGTTTTTCACCTGTCAGATTGATATTGTAAAATATAAAGTTTGAGTATTCATATAAACATAGTTAATAATTTTGGTGTACTTGCAGATAAAGGAGGATGGTGACCTAGCAGTTAGTTGTGGGTTCCACTTAGCTTACCGCAACAGAGAGCCAGTGGTTCGCCATTTGGGGCTCCAGTTGTTAGAGCATGTTATCAAGTATAAGTGGAATTATTTAACCGTTGGACAAAAAGTTCACATCAAGGTTAGTTAAAGTGTTTGCACAGAGTTTAAAAATTAAGCCTGATCATGCTTGTACTATACATAACTTGTTTTTTTTTCTCTCAACATGCTGGCCATCTCCCACTGTGGCAAGGTGGCCCAAAAAAGAAGGAAGCACTTTCACTGTCATTCAACACTTCCACAGTCATTCACACATAATCACTGCAGAGGCATGCAGATATGACAGTTCAGATGTCATTGTCCTTCCCATCTCCATGATTCTAGGTCTGGCAAACTGGTTTCCTTGAATCCCTTCACAAAATATTACCCTGCTCATGCTCAAATTGCTCGTCAGGTCCCAGAAACTGTTCATTTCCATTTACTCCTATCTAACATGCTCACATATGCCTGCTGTATGTCTAAGCCCCGTGAACACAAAACCTCTTTTACCCCCCTCCCATCCATTCCTAGGATGGCTCCCTGCCCCTCCTCCCTTCACTACAGATTTATACACCCTCCAAGTCATCCTATTTTACTCCATCCTCTCTAAATGACCAAACCACCTCAACAACCCCTCCTCAGCCCTCTGAGTAACACTTTTAGTAAATCCACACCTCCTCCTAATTTCCACACTACGAATTCTCTGCATAATATTTATGCCACGCATTGCCCCTAGACACGGCATCTCTATTGCCTCCAGCTTCCTCCTTGCTGCAGTGTAGTTTCTCCTCACTTAACGAAGGAGTTCCGTTCCTAAGACCACGTTGGTAAATGAATTCTTCGCTAAGCAAGGAGCGTACTATAATGGTAGTAGGTTTGTGTCAACCATCTTTGATATTGTTTTAATGTCACCTTTGCAACATTTATAACATTTTTAGGATATTTTTAAATGTTTATACAACAGTGTGCTGTACATTGTAATACAAAGAATAGCAGAAAATCAGCTCTAATATACATTAGTTATGATTATTGGTTAGCCCGTCCTAAGTCCGAGTCGTTGGTAAACGAGTATGTTGCTAAGCGAGGAGAGGCTGTATTTACAACCCATGCTTTACACCCATATAAGAGTATTGGTACCACTATACTCTCATACATTCCCTTTGCCTCCATAGATAATGTTTGTTGTCTCCACAGATACCTTAGTGCACCACCCACCTGTTTTCCTTCATCAGTTCTATGGGTTACCTCGTCCTTCATAAACTCATCCGCTGACAAATCTGCTCCCAAATATCTGAACACATTCACTTCTTTCATACTCCCACCCTGCAATGTGGTATTCAGTTTTTCTGTACCTAACTCATTTGATACTCTCACCTTACTCTTATATGGGTTCACTTTCAGCTTTGTTCCTTTTCACACCTTCCCACACTCATCCACTTAGCTTTGCAACTTCTTTTTAGAATCTCCCAAAAGCACAGTATCATCAGCAAAATGTAACTGTGTCAACTCCCATTTTGTATTTGATTCCCTGTAATTTAATCCCACACCTCTCTCCAACACTCTAACATTACTTATTTTACAACCCTATATATAAATACATGTTAAGCAACCATGGTGAGGCCTACTTTTACCGGAAAATAATCTCCTTCTCTCCTACACACCCTTACCTGAGCCTTACTATCCGTATCAAAACTTTACAGCATTTAGTAACTTAATACCTATTCCATAAACCTGCATCATCTGCCACATTGCTGCCCTATCCTCTTGCACCTTTTTCATGTTCTAGAATTTTTAGATAAGATGTTGTCTAAGTGACATATTAACTTGAATTATGAAAGTATGTATTACTGGAAGTTGCTTGTGAGTTTGGGCGTGGCAGCCAAATATGTACAGTTCCCAGTGTTCTCTTAGATTTTATTTCAAAATAAGTAGCCATTTGTATTAGAAATGCTTCCAGTAAGCAGTGTGTTTTGGTAAACTTTTTTTTTTTTTTAGGGGATTGGGGTTATCCATTGTTTATACACTGAGTAGAGTATGGTTTGATTCTGAGTAATCATCTCTTCTAAAATTAGACGCTAACTCAAATAAAACAAAAAAATGAAAGGAGTGGAGATGAATGGTTTTTGGGACCTGATGAGCTGTTGGAGTGTGAGCAGAGTAATGTTTTTTGAAGGATTTCAGGGAAACCAGGTAGCTATGCTTGAGTCCTGGAGGTGGGAAGTATAATGCATGCACTTTATGGAGGAGTTTGGGATATTGGCTGTTTGGAGTGACATCTAAACTGTCATCTGGGCACTTATGCAAAGACAGTGATCATGTGTGAATGATGGTGAAAGTGTTGAATGATAGTGAAAGTGTTTCTTACTTTTTTGGGTCACCCTGCTTCAGTCTGAGATGGCCGACGTGTTGGAAAAAAAAAATCATACTTATGATTTCACTTGTTTACTATGAACTTGTTGCATATTCATACTTATTATGTGTTTGCTGCTTTCAGGAAAATACGATGCAGTTGGTGGCAAAAGGGACACTTGATCTTCTTTCTGAGCATCTTTACGTTAAAGACAAGGTTTGCCAAGATTTTCAGTAGCTACATATAAATGAGGTCCAACTTCGAGAAGTGTGTGCTTTACAGTTATCTTTTGATATTTGCATTCTTTGCAGTTTCATTATTCTTGGTTTTCTCCATCTTGGTTGTGTGCACCCCTCTTCCATATTCACATAGTATCCAGAAACCTAATTTTCATGAATAGTGAGGGACAGTTGTGTACAGTAGAGCCCCCATATCCGAGGATTCAGGTTCCACGGTTTTGGTTATCCACGCTTTACCTCTGGCTGAAAATATTAAGGAGGTTGCAATTTAAGGTTTCATTTTTTATTTATCGTCTAATTTCAGTCATTTTTTACTGTTTGAATAAGAGCAGCAGCAGTTGCTGTTGGTGGCAGTGGCGTCAGTGGCGGAATATATTTTATTATTTAATGATGGTAATGTCTTATTGTGCTTAATTTATCAATTAAATTTTCTCATAGGTATATATGTAAATGAAAAGTTACTTATATAAAGGATTTGCTACTATCTGGGGTTTCGGGCATCCGTGGTAGGTCTTGGAACATATCACCCATGGATATGGGGGGGACTACTGTACTCATTTTTCAACCTACACATGAGTTGTTTGTATAGAGAACAATAGTATAAAGGGTGATTTTTCACACATGTTCATACCACAATTTGGCAGCTGTTAACCCTTTGAGGGTTTTGGTCGTACTAGTACGTCTTACGCATAGGGGTTTTTGACGTACTAGTACGCATAAATTCTAGCGGCCTCAAATCTCGCGCGAAAAGGCTGGTAGGCCTAGGTGTGAGAGAATGGGTCTGCGTGGTCGGTGTGCGCGGTAGAAAAAAATCTGGGACCCAGTGGTGCATTGTGGGAATGCCCTCTTAGTAAACAATGTCCACCATGCCTCGCGGTAAGAAGGTCCACACTCCTCGGCGAATTGGGACACTTTTGTTCCCCAGTGACAGTTCTAATAGTGATGGAAGTGCCAGTGAAGATGAGTTTCGTGGTTTTAGTGAGGTTTTGACCGAAAACTAATGACCATAATATCGGTAATAGTGAGGAAAACCCAGACGACCCTCAGCCTTCCACCTCTGGTGCTTGGCCCTCTTGTTCACGTTCAGTTGTTCCAGAACCCAAGAGGAAACTTCTATTTCCCCAAATCCCAGACTCAGATGAGAGCATGGGTGATGATAGTGATAGTGAATATGAACTACAAGCTCTTCAAACTAGTTCCAGTAGTGATAGTAAAAGTGCAATATTCCCCAGTGAAGCGTCAGTATATACGACGATATAGCGCTCTGGTAGTGTGCCATATGTTATACCAAGGGGAAGGAGTGTATCTCGGAGTACATCCCGTGGCTGTACAAAAGGAACAGACAGTGAAAATGACGAAGATACTGTTGCAATTGGGATGGAAAATGTGCGTGGTGGTAGTGGTGCCGGCGGTGAGGCACCAGCAGTGGGCCATGCTGCCACCACGCTGCCACCACGCCGCTGCCTCAGCTGATTAGAACAAAGGCCACCATCCCCCACTCACCCACCACACCAGCCTCCACAACCACAACCTCCACAACCACAACCACAACCACCTGTCATTGTCCAGTACCCACCAGCAGACTGCACCTGGGATTGGCAGGAAGCTGTCAATTTTGTTCCAAATCCCCACCAGTTTGATGGCAGCCAAAGTGGAATACGGCCATCTTGTGCACTTGGGAACAATGCCACTGAACTGGAATGTTTCGAGTTATTCTTTGACGAACCACTGATGAAAAGTATTGTCATGGAAAGCAACACATACATACTACGAGTACACCATGGCAAACACATTACTTTCACCAAAATCACGTCTACACCAGTGGAAGGAGGCAACTGTGGCTGAGATGTATCTTTTCTTTGCCACAATAATGCTTATGCCACATGTGTATAAGCACAAAGTGAAATCATACTGGTCAACAGACCCCCTGATTGCAACACCAGGTTTCAGTGATATAATGCCAGTGAATCGATTTGTGCTAATGTTACGTATGCTTCACTTCTCAGATAAAACCAGGCCTGACAGAACTGACAGGTTATATAAGATTAGGAATGTGTTTGTGTATCTGAAAACGGAAATTCAGTACGCATTTTTATCCCTTCAGGAAGCTTGTAATTGACGAGTCTTTGATTCTGTTCAAAGGAAGACTCTCTTTCAAGCAGTACATACCAAGCAAGAGGAAACGCTTTGGTATAAAGTTTTGTGCTTTGTGATTGTTACAGTGGTCTGGTATTGGATATTATTGTGTACACTGGAAGTTATACATTGCAAAATACCAGGAAGTTATTGGGCATCTCAGGTGATGTGGTTCGAACAATGATAGAACCATACCTTGGTAAGGGGCATATATTATATACAGATAACTGGTACACAAGCCCCTCACTCAGTGATTTTTTGCGAGTGAACATGACAGATGTGTGTGGCACAGTGTGTGCAAATCGGAAACATATGCCAGGTTTGACGCTGGCACTCGTAGAGGTGAGGTGCAGGCGTTTGCTGCCAATGACATCATGGCATTTCGGTGGCATGACAAACGAGATGTCACACGTTGTCATCAATTCACCCTAATGAAATGGCAGACAGTGGCAGGCAGCATAGAGAGAGAAATGAACCCATTCTAAAACCTGCAGCTGTGATTGATTACACCTTCAACATGCGTTCAGTGGACAAATGTGACATGCAGATTGGGTTTGCTGATTGGGGTTCGCAAGAGTTATAAGTGGTACATCAACTGTTTTTCCATCTTCTGGACATTTCCATGCTCAATGCTTATAATATGTATAAGATGAGCACCAGAAACAAAAACCCCAGTATGGCGAATTCTGTTTGTCTGTCATCAGACAAATAGTATTCAAGTACCAAGGAACAGTACCTGCAATTGACCGCCCATCAAATTATCAACAACTACCTGCTTGTCTGAAGCATGGTGATCACTTCCTGGTAAAACTGCCTGCTACTGCTTTGAAGAAAAAGGCTCAGAAGAGGTGTTACGTCTGTGCACATACAAAAAAACGCACACAACAACGCAGAGACACTCGTTTTATGTGTGAGGAGTGCAAAACTCCACTGTGCATGACACCATGTTTCAAAGAGTGCCACAGGCTTCAGAACTTCTAGAAACATTCCCTGTGACTGTATATGTGTATATAAAATATAGAAAAATAGTAATAAACAACATTTCATATCGTTTGTTTGTGTAAATATTTTCTGTAAACAGAATAATGACAACAGTGTTTACGCCCTTATTGTGTAGTATTGAAAAAGAAATAACTTACAAAATACTGATCATGTTGGCCTCAGAGGCCATAAAAGTTACTCAGTAAAAGAAAAATTGAAAAATAATTGAAAATAGTACATAAAAAAGTAAATAGAAAAATACCGGGTGATGGCAGTCGGCGATGTTACCATATGTTGCTCAATTTTGGCAAATTTCACGCCTCGATATCTCGGTAAGTATTGACGTTAAAATTTTTTTGTTTAGCCTATAATGTTTAGAAAAAAAAACTTTTTTTTTCATAAGAAAAAATAATTTTTTTTTTTTTTGAAATTTGGCCCGACCCTGAGAACGAGTTTAGGAGAGGGCCTGTCGACCCTCAAAGGTTTAAAAAAATTTACTTGGTTCTTCAGTGAAACCTCCTGTAAGAGAAGAGTGGTTGTGTATAAGATGGGATGTTTGTTACTTGGCACCCTAATAGTATATGAGGCTTGTTATTAGTTTTCACTTTATTTCATCAGTGTTTGGAAAACATATTATTTTATCTTTTACAGTGTGTCTTTAGGGATTTTTTTAACATAGAATTGATTATATGGCATAGATTTTTTTAATTAATTTTTGTATTACCTTTGCAGTAGTAGGTTGGTAGACAGCAACCACCCAGGGAGGTACTACCGTCCTGCCAAGTGAGTGTAAAACAAAAGCCTGTAATTGTTTTACGTGATGGTAGGATTACTGCTGTCTTTTGTCTGTCTCATAAACATGCAAGATTTCAGGTACGTCGTGCTACTTCTTTTTACACTTAGGTCACACTACACATACATGTACAAGCATATTTATACACACCCCTCTGGGTTTTCTTCTATTTTCTTTCTAATTCTTGGTCTTGTTTATTTCTTCTTATCTCCATGGGGAAGTGGAACAGAATTCTTCCTCTGTAAGCCATGCGTGTCGTAAGAGACGACTAAAATGCCAGGAGCAAGGGGCTAGTAACCCCTTCTCCTGTATATATTACTAAATTTAAAAGGAGAAACTTTAGTTTTTTTCTTTTGGGCCACCCCACCTCGGTGGGATACGGCTGGTATGTTGAAAGAAAGAAAGAAAGAAAGATATATATACACACCCCTCTGGGTTTTCTTCTATTTTCTTTCTAGTGCTTGTTCTTGTTTATTTCCTCTTATCTCCATGGGGAAGTGGAACAGAATTCTTCCTCCGTCAGCCTTTACGTGTTGTACGAGGCAACTAAAATGCCGGAAGCAAGGGGCTAGTAACCCCTTCTCCTGTACAAATTACTAAATTTAAAAAAAAAAAACTTTTGTTTTTCTTTTTGGGCCACCCTGCCTTGGTGGGATACGGCCAGTTTGTTGAAAAAAAAAAATTACCTTTGCAGTAGAAGAAGTGGAAAGCAATGTAGGGGTTGCCCAAGGGAAAGTTGGATAGAGAGTGTAAAGGAGGTTTTGTGTGAGGGACTTGGATCTCCAGCAGGTACGTGTGAGTGTGTTAGATAGGAGTGGAGGCAAATGGTTTTTGGAACTTGACGAGCTGTTGGAATGTGAGCAAGGTTAGCCAGACTTGAGTCCTAGTGGTGGGAAGTACAGTGCCTGCACTCTGAAGGAGGGGTGGCAGATATTTGCAGTTTGAAGAATTATCTGAGTTGTAATGTTAGCATGCCTCTGGCAAGACAGTGATGGCATGAGTGGTAGTGAAAGTGTTTCCCCATGATATTCCATGGGGAAGTGGAAAAGAGTTCTCCCTCCATAAGCCATGTATGTCATAAGAGGCGATCAAAATGCTGGGAACAAGGGGCTTGTAATTCCTTCTTCTGTATAAATTACTAAATTTAAAAAGAAAAGCTTTTGTTTTTCTATTTAGATCACCTGCCTTGGTGGGATACAGCCAGTGTGTTAAAAAAAATAAAACATGATAACCATGTTTCAGGTGTCACGTCTTGTTGTGGAGATGATGAAACGTGAATGGCCACAGCAGTGGCCAGGTTTGCTTTATGAACTTCAAGAACTTTCTAATAGCGGTCCCACACAAACAGAGTTGGTGCTGTTCGTTTTTCTGCGTATTGCTGAAGATGTAGCTACATTGCAGGTGATTTTATCTTTTAAATCTGTTGTTTTATTCTAATGATAGGTATTTTTTTTGGGTGGAATTTTTTTCATTATGATTAATTTTACTTTTATCTTTATATAATTATATTTTTATTATTTATACTTTCGTACTCTACAGCATACAGTGGTACCCCGAGTTTCGGCCATTAATTCGTTCCAGAAGGCTGTTCGAGTGCCGTTACCGAACAAATTTGTTCCCATGAGAAATAATGTTAATTAGATTAGTCCATTCCAGACCCCCAAAAATACACCTGCAAAAGCACTTAAAATAATACAATTACGTAAGTGTTTGAGTTGGGAGCTGTACAAAACTTGGGGGTACCACTGTACTTATGAAAACAATCCTTTTTTTTTTTATCTTATTTCTTATTTTGTTGGGTTGAGAGTAAATGATCATGATACAAAAGATACTTGAGGGCAGATAAAGGACACACCAAGATAGATTCTTTGTCAGAAAAGAATCTAGAGGAGGGAAAAAATGGACAAAACATTCCAAGAGTAACTACAGTGGACCCCCGCATACCGTTGGCCTTACATAACGTTAAATCCGCATACCGATACGTTCTATCGCTAAGATTTTGCCTCGCATACCGCTAAAAAACCCGCTCAACGCTGTTCGTCTGAGACGCGTCTAATGTGCGGCCTTAGCCAACCTCACATGTTCCACCGGTGGCATTGTTTACCAGCCAGCCTCCGCGATAACATCCAAGCATACACTCGAAACATTTCGTATTATTACAGTGTTTTTGGTGATTTTATCTGCAAAATAAGTGACCATGGGCCCCAAGAAAGCTTCTAATGCCAACCCTACAGGAATAAGGGTGAGAATTACTATAGAGATGAAGAAAGAGATCATTGATAAGTATGAAAGTGGAGTGCGTGTCTCCGAGCTGGCCAGGTTGTATAATAAACCCCAGTCAACCATCGCTACTATTGTGAGCAACAAAAAGGCAATCAAGGAAGCTGTTCTTGCCAAAGGTTCAACTGTGTTTTCGAAACAGAGATCGCAAGTGATGGAAGATGTTGAGAGACTCTTATTGGTGTGGATAAATGAAAAACAGATAGCAGGAGATAGCATCTCTCAAGTGATCATAAGTGAAAAGGCTAGGAAGTTGCTTCAGGATTTAATTAAAAAAATGCCTGCAACTAGTGATGATGTGAGTGAATTTAAGGCCAGCAAAGGTTGGTTTGAGAGATTTAACCCTTTCAGGTTCCGTCCCGTAGATCAACGGCTTTACGTTGAGTGTCCAAACCGTAGATCTATGCCAAAATTCTAGCGCCGTCAAATTTAGCGCAAAAACGCTCATAGGCCTACATGTGAGAGAACGGGTCTGCGTGGTGGGTGTGCACCATAAACAAAAAATCTAGGCGCCCGCATAGCATTGTGGGAACGCCGGCTCAGTTATCCTTGTTCACCATGCCTCGTCGCAAGTCAGCTCTCACTCCCTGGAAAATTGGGACTCTCCTCTTCCTATCTGATAGTTCTGACACTGATGGAAGTGGAAATGAAGACGAATTCTACGGCTTTGATCAGTTAGTGACGAAAAGAATGACAGGATATCGATAATAGTGCAGAAAACCCTGACGATCGTCAACCTTCTACCTCTGGTGTGGGCACTCGTGACTCACGGTTGGTTGTTCCTCATCGCAAGAGAAAACTAATATTTTCGCGTGGCCAGGCCTCTGACTTCAGTAATGATGATGATAGTGACGTGGACTGTGATTTTATTGCGCTCGACGATCAATCGAGTAGTGATAGTGAGGAATCATATTCACCAGTGAAGCGTCGGTATGTTTGCCGCCGCATGCGCTCGGTAAGTGGTACCCTATGCTGTGCCCAGGGGCCGGAGTACATCCCATGGCCCTACACCAGTTTTAGGTAGTGATAGTGAGGATAATGTGGCTACACTTGGCATGGATAGACCACAGGCATCAGTGGATGGTGTTAGTGGTGATGGTAGTGGCACCGCCATGCGTGACTCACCAGGCCACGCTGGGACCCATGCTGACTCGTCAGTTCAAGGACAAAGCAGAGCGCCAGCCACCAGCCCACCACAACCACAACCACCCGCACAACCAGCCTATGATGTCCAGTATCCACCAGCAAACCGTATGTGGGATTGGCAGCAAAATCCCAATTTTGTTCCCAAGCCTCACCACTTTGATGATTCTCAAAGTGGAATTCTACCTACTTGTCCCCTTGGAACCACGGCCAATGAACTGGAATTCTTTGAATTATTCTTTGACCAGCCATTGATGGAAATTATTGTCAGGGAAAGTAATAAGCATTTTGAGTACACCATGGCAAATACGATCTTATCACCACAGTCAAGACTACACAGGTGGAAAGAGACGACTGTTGCAGAAATGTATTTGCTTTTTGTAACAATATGCTTATGCCTCATGTCTATAAGCATAATATAAAAGCATACTGGTCCACAGATTGGCTAATTTCTACCCCGGTCTTCAGTGAAATCATACCAGTGAACAGGTTTATCTTACTCTTACGTATGTTGCACTTCTCTGACAAAACCAGGCCTGACAGAAGTGATAGGTTATACAAGATTAGAAATGTTTTCATGTATCTCAAACAAAAGTTCAGGATATACTTTTATCCATTCAAGAATCTTGTAATTGACGAGTCTTTGATTTTGTTCAAAGGTAGACTGTCATTCAAGCAGTATATACCGAGCAAGAGGAAACGCTTTGGTATAAAACTGTTTGTACTCTGTGATTGTGACAGTGGCCTGGTGTTGGATATTGTTGTATACACAGAAAGTAAAACATTGAAAGATACCAAGATGTTATTGGGTATCTCAGGTGACGTAGTGAGAAACATGATGGCACCTTATATTGGTAAGGGGCATACATTATATACCGATAACTGGTACACAAGCCCATTACTCAGTGATTTCATGCGAGTGAACAAGACAGATGTGTGTGGCACAGTGCGTTCTAATCGTAAACATATGCCCAGGCTCAACGCAGGTGCTCGTGGTGATGACGTGCAGGTGTTTACTGCCAATGACATCATGGCATTAGGTGGCATGACAAACGAGATGTCACATTGTTGACAACCATTCACTGTAATGAAATGCAAGACAGTGGCAAAGTTGATCGAGTGACTAATGAACATATTCGAAAACCAGTGTCAGTGATTGATTATACACAAAACATGCGCTTGGTTGACAAGTGACATGCAGATTGGTTTTGTTGACTATGTTCGTAAGAGTTACAAGTGGTACATGAAACTTTTCTTCCATCTCATGGACATTTCAATGCTCAATGCATATAATATGTACCAAATAAAGACTGGCAACAGACCACCTTATGGTGAATTTTGTTTGTCTGTTGTCAGACAACTCATAATGAAGTACCAGGTAACAACACCTGCTATACAACATGGTCCTCGAATTCCTCAGGATATACCCAAGCGTTTGAGGAGAGAAGGTGATCATTTCATAATACAGCTTCCTTCAACTCAGAAGAAATTTGCTCAGAAGAGATGCATTGTGTGTGCACAAACAAAACGACGGCAACAAAGACGCAAAGACACTCGGTTTATGTGTGAGGAATGTAAGGTGCCTCTGTGCATAGTGCCTTGTTTCAAGGAGTTCCACAAGCTCCAGCAGTTCTAAAACCATGTCCAGTGATTGTAAATATGTAAATATATGATAGAACATTAGTATCATACAATATTTGTGCATGTTTATTGTAATAAACAACAGTGGTAAACAATAATATGATAATAATTTTAGTGCGGTTATTGTGTTCAATACAGTGAGTTTATATATATACATTATATACAGTATTGGTCTCTCAGGCCCCAAATGTTAGTAGGCATAGAAAAAAATTGGAAAAGAAAAGAAAAAACAACTAAAACCACAAAATAATGTAATGCGCGTATGTGGAATTCGTCGATGTTGCCACCACCACATCATTTTTGACAAACTTCTTGGCACTGTATCTCGGTAAGTACTGATCAGATTTTTTTTTTTGTCTTATTACCTTCACAAAAATATGCTCTTTAATTCTGTAAGAAAAAAATTTTTTTTTTTTTTTTTTCAAAATTTCTTGGACACTGGAGCACCACTTCAGATTTTGGCCTTGGACCCTGAAAGGGTTAAGAAGCATAGTGGCATACATAGTGTGATAAGGCATGGTGAGGCTGCCAGTTCGGACCACAAAGCAGCTGAAAAATATGTGCAGGAATTCAAGGAGTACATAGAAAGTGAAGGACTGAAACCTGAACAAGTGTTTAATTGTGACGAAACAGGCCTGTTTTGGAAGAAAATGCCAAACAGGACCTACATTACTGAGGAGGAAAAGGCACTCCCAGGACATAAGCCTATGAAAGACAGGCTTACTCTGTTGATGTGTTCCAATGCTACTGGTGATTACAAAGTGAAGCCTTTATTAGTGTATCACTCAGAAACTCCCATAGCGTTCAGACAAAAGAATATCCTCAAGGCTAATTTGTGTGTGCTGTGGAGGGCAAACAGTAAGGCATGGGTCACTAGGGACTTTTTCTATGACTGGTTACACCATGCATTTGCTCCCAATGTGAAAGATTACCTAACTGAAAAGAAATTAGACCTTAAGTGCCTCCTGGTGTTAGACAATGCCCCTGGTCATCCTACAGACGTGGCAGAGCGACTTTATGGAGACATGAAGTTCATTAAGGTGAAGTTTTTGCCTCCTAATGCCACTCCTCTCCTACAGCCCATGGACCAGCAGGTTATTGCAAACTTCAAAAAACTGTACACAAAAGCTCTGTTTGAAAGGTGCTTTGTAGTGACCTCAGAAACTCAACTGACTCTAAGAGAGTTTTGGAGAGATCACTTTAATATCCTCAATTGTGTAAACCTTGTAGGTAAGGCTTGGGAGGGAGTGACTAAGAGGACCTTGAACTCTGCTTGGAAGAAACTGTGGCCAGAATGTGTAGACAAAAGGGATTTTGAAGGATTTGAGGCTAACCCTGAGAGGAGTATGCCAGTTGAGGAATCAATTGTGGCATTGGGGAAGTCCTTGGGGTTGGAGGTTAGTGGGGATGATGTGGAAGAGTTGGTGGAGGAGGACAATGAAAAACTAACCACTGATGAGCTGATAGATCAACTTCAACAACAAGAGGCCAGACCTGAGGAAACTGATTCGGAGGAGGGGAGAGAGAAATTGAAGAAGTTGTCTACTACAAAGATTAAGGAAATCTGTGCAATGTGGCTGAAAGTGCAAACCTTTGTGGATGAAAATCACCCTCACACAGCTATTGCAAGCCGTGCTGGTGACTATTACACTGACAATGTTGTGAAACACTTTAGGGAAGTCATAAAGGAACGAGAGGTACAGGCCACTATGGACAGATATGTTGTGCGACAGAAGTCCAGTGACTCTGAAGCTGGTCCTAGTGGCATTAAAAGAAGGGAAGTAACCCCAGAAAAGGACTTGACACCTCAAGTCTTAATGGAAGGGGATTCCCCTTCTAAACATTAAGACTCTCTCCTCCTCCCATCCCATCAATCATCACCAGATCTTCAATAAAGGTAAGTGTCATGTAATTGTGCATGCCTTTTTCAGTTTGTGTGTATTAAAATTAATATTTCATGTGGTAAAAATATTTTTTTTTCATACTTTGGGGTGTCTTGCACAGATTAATTTGATTTCCATTATTTCTTATGGGGAAAATTCATCCGCATAACAATAATTTCGCATAACAATGAGCTCTCATGCACGGATTAATATCGTTATGCGGGGGTCCACTGTACAGGGATTTCAGAAAGAAATTTTTTAGTCAGTTGAACACCAGTCTGTGTTGGATATCTGGGCCAGTGGACCACCAGCAACAATAGCCTGGTTGGCCGGGCAAGCACCAGATGAGACTGGCCCAAAGTCGCATTCCGGGAGTAGAAAAACTTGAAACTCATCAAAGGTAAATAATGTAAGCAGACTTAATATGCATAGGAGATGAGAGATAATGATGAAGTTGTGTCAAGTAGGTTAGTTGGAAGTTAAGAAGTAGGACCAAGAGCTAGAGCTCCCATCATCTTCACAAAGCTAGATAATTAAAAATACAATTTGTAATTACACTCATTCCATTATGCTCCTCGTCACATTGACTCCATGATGAGGGTGGCAAGGGAAGATGGAAAAGACAGAGATAGGGATGGAGTGAACAGTAGAGGCAGGGAAATAAAAGGGGCTTAAGTGGAAGAAATGGAGATTGAGTTAACTATTTTTCAAGAATTTTCTAACAGTTGCTTCTTTTGAGGTATGCTATAGGGAACAAAGGTTATTGGGAGCTACAAGTGCCTTTCATGGTTTCAACATAGTTAATTACTTTAAGATTTAATTTTTCTGTCGCAGCAGGAGTTCCAGCAGAAAATAAAATCATTAAAGACATTTTGCTACCTTCTTACATTTAGTTTTTATTCCTAACTGTTGATTTAAGTATTTACTACCCAGACAACAAGACTAAATCAGTGAAGAACTTTATCTTTCAATGCTATGCTCTGTGTAAGATTACTAAAATCTTGATTAATCAGCATCTAACTTTCAGTAGCAATGTATATTATGAGGAAATATGGTATACAAATGGAATTATATACCAACAAGTTAATAAAACACATTGTGCAGTTTATGTCATTTTATGTCATAAACTGCATTTTATATGTATTAATATAAGGAAGTATTGTGCTCAACAGAATATTTTGTTACGACAGAACATAGAATCCAACCAGCGTCGACGTGATCTCTACCAAGCGATGACGGTGAATATGGAAAAGATGTTTAAATTTTTCCTTACACTCTTGGAGGAAAATTTTAAGCAGTATGAAGCAAAAATGAGCCAGCAAGATTCTCAAACAGCACAGCAGCACTGCCGAGTTGTGCAGGTGCTGTATATTTTTGTGTATTAATATAGTGTATTAATATATTTGGAAATTGTTGAAAAGTTGGTTCATGAGTATTTCAAACCCTCTTCCTCACGTAAAGGTAAATTATTGCATGTTCTGTATAAAGGTTGAAGAGGGTTGGAATAGTTTTAAAAATGCAGTATTAGAATGTGGGGCAGAAGTTTGTGGCTATAGGAGGGTGGGTGAAGGAGGAAAGACGAGTGATTGGTGGAATCATGAAATAAAGGGTGTGATAAAAGAGAAGAAGATAGCTTATATAGGTTTTTACAAAGCAGAAGTGTTATAAGAAGAGTAGAGAATATGGAGAGTAAAAGAAAGGTGAAGAAAGTGGTGAGAGAGTGCAAAAGGAGAGCAGATGATAGAGTGGGAGAGGCACTGTCAAGAAATTTTGATGAAAATAAGAAAAAAATTTGGAGTGAGATAAACAAGTTAAGAAAGCCAAGGGAACAATTGGATTTGTTAGTTAAAAACAGAGTAGGGGAGTTAATAGACCAGGAGCTGGAGGTATTGGGTAGATGGCGGGAATATTTTGAAGAACTTTTAAATGTCGACGAAGAAAGGGAGGCGGTAATTTCATCCACTGGCCAGGGAGGTATAACATCTTTTAGGAGTGAAGAAGAGCAGGAGGTGAGTGTGGGGATGGTGCATTAGGCATTATGTAGAATGAAAGGTGGTAAAGCATCTGCAACTGACGGGATCATGACAAAAATGTTAAAAGCAGGGGAAGATATAGTGTTGGAATGGTTGGTATTTTTGTTTAATAAATATATGAAAGAGGGGAAGGTACCTAGGGATTGGCAGAGAGCATGTATAGTTTCTTCATATAAAGGGAAGGGGGACAAGAGAGATTGTAAAAATTATAGGGGAATAAGTTTACTGAGTATACCAGGAAAAGTGTACAGTAGGGTTATTATTGAGAGAATTAAAGAGGTAAGACAGATGTAGATGAGCATGGAGGCTTTAGAGTGGGTAGGGGATGTGTAGATCAAGTGTTGAAGCATATATGTGAACAGTATTTTGATAAGGGTAGGGAAGTTTTCATTGCATTTATGGATTTAGAAAAGGCATATGATAGAGTGGATAAGGGAGCAATGTGGCAGATGTTGCAGGTATATAGAATAGGTAGTAAGTTAATAAATGTTGTAAAGAGTTCTTATGAGGATAGTGAGGCTCAGGTTAGGGTGTGTAGGAGAGAGGGAGATTACTTCCCAGTAAAATTAGGTCTTAGACAGGGATGTGTAATGTCACCATGGTTATTTAATATATTTATAGATTGGGTTGCAAAAGAAGTAAATGCTAGGGTGTTGGGGAGAAGAGTGGGATTAAATTATGGGGAATCAAATACAAAATGGGAGTTGACACAGTTACTTTTTGCTGATGATACTGTGCTTATGGGAGATTCCTAAGAAAAGTTGCAAAGGTTAGTGGACGAGTTAGGGAGGGTGTGTAAAGGTAGAAAGTTGAAGTGAACATAGATAAGAGTAAGGTCATGAGGGTGTCAAATGATTTAGATAAAGAAAAATTGGATATCACATTGGGGAGAGGGAGTATGGAAGAAGTGAATGTTCTCATATACTATTTGGGAATGGACTTATCAGCGGATGGGTTTATGAAGGATGAGGTTAACCATATAATTGATGAAAGAAAAAAAGGTAAGTGGTGCATTGAGGTATATGTGGAGACAAAAAACGTTGTCAGTGGAGGCAAAGAAGGGAATGTATGAAAGTATAGTGGTACTAACACTCTTATATGGGTATGAAGCTTGGGTTGTAAATGCTGCAGAGAGGATGTGGCTGGAGACAGTGGAGATGTCATGTCGAAGGGCAATGTGTGGTGTAAATATTATGCAGAGAATTTGGAGTGTGGAAATTAAGAGGAGGTGTGGAGTTACTAAAAGTATTAGTTAGAGGGCTGAAGAGGGGTTGTTGAGGTGGTTTGGTCATTTACAGAGAATGGTTCAAAGTAGAATGACTTGGAGAGAGTATAAATCTGTAGGGGAAGGAAAGAGGGGTAGGGGTCGTCCTCGAAAAGGCTGGAGGGAGCGGGTAAAAGAAGGTTTTGTGGGCAAAGGGCTTGGACTTCCAGCAAGCGTGTTAGGAGTGAATGGAGATGAATGGTTTTTGGGACCTAACAAGCTGTTGGAGTGTGAGCAGGGTAATATTTAGTGAAGGGATTTAGGGAAACCGGTTGGCCAGACTTGAGTCCTGGAAATGGGAAGTACAATGCCTGCACTTTACAGGAGGGGTTTGGGATATTGACAGTTTAGAGGGACTTCTAAACTGTCGTATCTGAGTGCCTCTGCAAGGACAGTGATTATGTATGAGGTGAAAGTGTTGAATGATGATGAAAGTATTTTCTTTTTGGGATTTTCTTTCTTTTTGTGTCACCCTGCCTTGGTGGGAGACGACCGACTTGTTGAAAAAAAAATAGCATTGCCAAAATAGCTAAGAAGTGCTGGATCAAAAACTTTTAGTGACTGGTTTTGAAGGTGGAGAGCTTGCTTCTGATTTTTAATATTTGAAAGCCCATTCAATTTTTTGACTGCATAAATCTGCTTAGTCAGCTTTGAGAAGCAGAGAATTCTGCTATGGTTTGGATGCCTTAAGTTTTTAATACCTTGTGACACAGCATACAACTTCTCTGAGGGGGTTGCCCCACTTCCCTTGAGAGAAGGTGTTCTTTCAAGGGAAGTGAGGGGCTCTTGATCAAACAAATTCATTCTACCCTTTTCCTTGTATGAAAATTGATTGCCTCCCATTCCCAGCTGTATGACCCCTACTGGTTTAGTGTTCTGCCATTGAATGTAGGAATAATAATAATAATAACAACAGTTTAGGAAAAAACTTCAAAGTTGAGGTACAGCCATGAATAGAGATTTCTTTTACATTTTTGAAATTTACTGATCTGACTTTTGCAATCATTCCCTTTTTGTTTTCTAGACATACAAAAGACTTAACATAATGGCTGAAATCCCATGTTTTTGAGTTGTCATTGTGACATATTGAGATCACTTATATACCCAGTGTAGTTGTGAAACACATCACACACAGGGCAGTGCTCATTTCCTGGGGTTACAAGTTCATCAAATGGTGCAGAATGGTTGTGGGTGAAGTGCCTATGTTTGTTTCATTATCATGGGAAATTAAGAGATTTTGCATACAGGTTTTAGAACTAAATTTTTTTATAGCACTGACTATGAGTCTAGTTGTATTGATTGGTTTACAGAGTCTTTTTTGCATGTATGTTACCATCTCTTGCATTTCCTCACCAATCTCTTCACAGGTGAGATAAACTCTTTTGATAATTTTGGTGTAATAACTAATATTTTTTTTTTTTTTTTTTTTTTTTTTTTTGGGTAAGAGTGTGTTGTTTAACACATCAACTCCATCAGTGTCATATCATTTAGCAGGCATGTTATGCATCTTTCCACTTCCATCCTGAAACTTGAAATTTTCCTTGGATGCGATTCACAACAGTGATTGACACCCAGGTGCCTATTTACAGCTAAGTGAATGGGGTAACAGAATGTAATATGGCTGCCATATATATATAATGGGGACATATGAATATGTTCCTACACTTGCTGCACTATTCACTTAGCAGTAAACACATGTAGTGGCACAATGGTACTTAATTCCCTTTTGGGCAAGTTCTTTGATGGCAGTGAGGGACTCTAGAAAAGCTTCCCCTTCCTTAGATCGAGCCTGAATGGCTCCCATTCTCTCAGCACTGTAGACTCCTACAGGTTTAGTACTTATACATTAATGTAATAATAATGATAACAGTTAATAATAATAATTAATAATAATTATTAGTACCAACACTTATATGGGTGTGAAGCTTGGGTTGTGAATGCAGCAGTGAGGAGGCAGTTGGAGGCAGTGGAGATGCCTGTCTAAGGGCAATGTGTGGTGTAATATTATGCAGAAAATTCGGAGTGTGGAAATTAGGAGAAGGTGTGGAGTTAATAAAAGTATTAGTCAGAGGGCTGAAGGAGGGGTTGTTGAGGTGGTTTGGTCATTTAGAGAGAATGGATCAAAGTAGAATGACATGGAGAGCGTATAAATCTGTAGGGGAAGGAAGGCAGGGTAGGGGGCATCCTCGAAAAGGTTGGAAGGAAGGGGTAAGGGAGGTTTTGTGGGCGAGGGCTTGGACTTACAGCGGCGTGCATGAGCGTGTTCGATAGGAGTGAATGGAGACGAATGGTATTTGGGACCTGACGATCTGTTGGAGTGTGAGCAGGGTAATATTTAGTGAAGGGATTCAGGGTAACTGGTTTTTTTATATAGCCGGACTTGAGTCCTGGAAATGGGAAGTACATACCTGCACTCTAAAGGAGGGGTTCGGGTAATAGCAGTTTGGAGGGATATGTTGTGTATCTTTATACATAGAGTGGACTCCCCGGTTTACTATCAGCTCCCAATGCGACCAATTATGTAGTGTATTTATGTAAGTGCATTTGTATGTGTATGTTTGGGGGTCTGAAATGGACTAATCTAATTCACAATATTCCTTATGGGAACAAATTCGGTCAGTACTTGGCACCTGAACATACTTCTGCAATGAATAATATCGTAAACTGGGGGTCCACTGTATATGCTTCAAACTGTTGTGTTCTGAGTACCTCGCAAAAACAGTGATTATGTGTGAGTGAGGTGAAAGTGTTGAATGATGATGAAAGTATTTTCTTTTTGGGGATTTTCTTTCTTTTTGGGTCACCCTGCCTCGGTGGGAGACGGCTGACTTGTTAAAAAAAAAAATAATAGTAATAAATAATAATAATAACAACAGTATTTGATTTGGTAGTAGGTTGGTAGACAGCAACCACCCAGGGAAGTACTACCGTCCTGTCAGATGACTGTGAAACAGAAACCTGTAACTGTTTTGCATGATGGTAGGATTGCTGGTTTCTTTTTCTGTCTCATAAACACGCTAGATAACAGGGATATCTTGCTACTCCTACTTACACTTTGGTCACACTTCACAGACATGCACATGCATATATATACAGTGGACCCCCGCTTAACGATCACCTCCAAATGCGACCAATTATGTAAGTGTATTTATGTAAGTGCGTTTGTACGTGTATGTTTGGGGGTCTGAAATGGACTAATCTACTTCACAATATTTCTTATGGGAAAAAATTCGGTCAGTACTGGCACCTGAACATACTACTGGAATGAAAAAAGTTCGTTAACCGGGGGTCCACTGTATATACATACATCTAGGTTTTTCCCCTTTTTCTAAATAGCTCTTCTTCTTCTTTATTTCTTCTATTGTCCATGGGGAAGTGGAAAAGAATCTTTCCTCCGTAAGCCATGCGTGTTGTATGAGGCGACTAAAATGCTGGGAGCAATGGGCTAGTAACCCCTTCAACTGTAGACACTTACTAAAAAAGAGAAAAAAAAAAACTTTATAAAACTGGGATGCTTGAATGTGCATGGATGTAGTGAAGATGACAAGAAACAGATGACTGCTGATGTTATGAATGAAAAGAAGTTGGATGTCCTGGCCCTAAGCGAAACAAAGCTGAAGGGGGTAGGGGAGTTTCGGTGGGGGAAATAAGTGGGATTAAATCTGGAGTATCTGAGAGAGTTAGAGCAAAGGAAGGGGTAGCAGTATGTTGAAGGATCAGTTATGGAAGGAGGAAAAGAGAATGTGAATGTGTAAATTCAAGAATTATGTGGATTAAAGTAAAGGTTGGATGTGAAAAGTGGGTCATAATAAGCGTGTATGCACTGGAGAAGAGAGGAATGTAGAGGAGAGAGAGAGATTTTGGGAGATGTTAAGTGAATGTATAGGAGCCTTTGAACCAAGTGAGAGAGTAATTGTGGTAGGGGATCTGAATGCTAAATGTAGGAGAAAACTTTTAGAGAGGGTGTGGTAGGTAAGTTTGGGGTGCCAGGTGTAAATGATAATGGGAGCCCTTTGATTGAACTTTGTATAGAAAGGGGTTTAGTTATAGGTAATACATATTTTAAGAAAAAGAGGATAAATAAGTATACAAGATATGATGTAGGGCGAAATGACAGTAGTTTGTTGGATTATTATTGGTAGATAAAAGACTGTTGAGTAGACTTCAGATGTACATGTTTATAGAGGGGCCACAGATATATCAAATCACTTTCTAGTTGTAGCTACACTGAGAGTAAAAGGTAGATGGGGGGGTACAAGGAGAATAGAAGCATCAGGGAAGAGAGAGGTGAAGGTTTATAAACTAAAAGAGGAGGCAGTTAGGGTAAGATACAAACAGCTATTGGAGGATAGATGGGCTAATGAGAGCATAGGCAATGGGGTCGAAGAGGTATGGGGTAGGTTTAAAAATGTAGTGTTAGAGTGTTCAGCAGAAGTTTGTGGTTACAGGAAAAGTGGGTGCGGGAGGGAAGAGGAGCGATTGGTGGAATGATGATGTAAAGAGAGCAGTAAGGGAGAAAAAGTTAGCATATGAGAAGTTTTTACAAAGTAGAAGTGATGCAAGGAGGAAGAGTATATGGAGAAAAAGAGAGAAGTTAAGAGAGTGTTGAAGCAATGTAAAAAGAGAGCAAATGAGAGAGTGGGTGAGATGTTATCAACAAATTTTTGTTGAAAACAAGAAAAAGTTTTGGAGTGAGATTAACAAGTTAAGGAAGCCTAGAGAACAAAACGGATTTGTCAGTTAAAAATAGAAAGAGGAGAGTTATTAAATGGAGAGTTAGAGGTATTGGGAAGATGGAGGGAATTTTTTGAGGAATTGTTAAATGTTGATGAAGATAGGGAAGCTGTGATTTCGTGTATAGGGCAAGGAGGAATAACATCTTGTAGGAGTGAGGAAGAGCCAGTTGTGAGTGTGGGGGAAGTTCGTGAGACAGTAGGTAAAATGAAAGGGGGTAAGGCAGCCGGGATGATGGGATAAAGATAGAAATGTTAAAAAGCAGGTGGGGATATAGTTTTGGAGTGGTTGGTGCAATTATTTAATAAATGTATGGAAGAGGATAAGGTACCTAGGGATTGGCAGAGAGCATGCATAGTTCCTTTGTATAAAGGCAAAGGGGACAAAAGAGAGTGCAAAAATTATAGGGCGGATAAGTCTGTTGAGTATACCTGGTAAAGTGTATGGTAGAGTTATTATTGAAAGAATTAAGAGTAAGACGGAGAATAGGATAGCAGATGAACAAGGAGGCTTTAGGAAAGGTAGGGGGGTGTGTGGACCAGGTGTTTACAGTGAAACATATAAGTGAACAGTATTTAGATAAGGCTAAAGAGGTCTTTGTGTCATTTATGAATTTGGAAAAGGCGTTTGTGACAGGGTGGATAGGGGGGCAATGTGGCAGATGTTGCAGGTGTATGGTGTAGGAGGTAGGTTACTGAAAGCAGTGAAGAGTTTTTACGAGGATAGTGAGGCTCAAGTTAGAGTATGTAGGAAAGAGGGAAATTATTTCCCAGTAAAAGTAGGCCTTGGACAAGGATGTGTGATGTCACCATGGTTGTTTAATATATTTATAGATGGGGTTGTAAGAGAAGTAAATGCGAGGGTCTTGGCAAAAGGCATGGAGTTAAAAGATAAAGAATCACACATAAAGTGGGAGTTGTCACAGTTGTCTCTTTGCTGATGACACTGTGGTCTTTGGAGATCTGAAGAGAAGTTTCAGAGATTGGTGGATGAATTTGGTAGGGTATGCAAAAGAAGAAAATTAAAAGTGAATACAGGAAAGAGTAAGGTTATGAGGATAAAAGATTAGGTGATGAAAGATTGGATATCAGATTGGAGGGAGAGAGTATGGAAGAGGTGAATGTATTCGATATTTGGGAGTGGACGTGTCAGCGGATGGGGTCTATGAAAGATGAGGTGAATCATAGAATTGATGAGGGGAAAAGGGGGGAGTGAGTGGTGCACTTAGAAGTCTGTGGAGACAAAGAACTTTGTCGTTTGAGGCAAAGAGGGGAATGTATGAGAGTATAGTTTTACCAACGCTCTTATATGGGTGTGAAGCATGGGTGATGAATGTTGCAGCGAGGAGAAGGCTGGAGGCAGTGGAGATGTCATGTCTGAGGGCAATGTGTGGTGTGAATATATGCAGAGAATTCGTAGTTTGGAAGTTAGGAGAGGTGCGGGATATACCAAAACTGTTGTCCAGAGGGCTGAGGAAGGGTTGTTGAGGTGGTTCGGACATGTAGAGAGAAATGGAGCGAAACAGAGTGACTTCAAAAGTGTATCAGTCTGTAGTGGAAGGAAGGTGGGGTAGGGTCGGCCTAGGAAAGGTTGGAGGGAGGGGGTTAAAGGAGGTTTTGGTGCGAGGGGCTTGGACTTCCAGCAGGCATGCGTGAGCGTGTTTGATAGGAGTGAATGGAGACAAATGGTTTTTTAATACTTGACGTGCTGTTGGAGTGTGAGCAAAGTAACATTCATGAAGGGGTTCAGGGAAAACCGGCAGGCCGGACTTGAGTCCTGGAGATGGGAAGTACAGTGCCTGCACTCTGAAGGAGGGGTGTTAATGTTGCAGTTTAAAAACTGTAGTGTAAAGCATCCTTCTGGCAAGACAGTGATGGAGTGAATGATGGTGAAAGTTTTTCTTTTTCGGGCCACCCTGCCTTGGTGGGAATCGGCCAGTGTGATAATAAAAAATAAAAAAATACTTCTTTAATTGATGATTTGTGTTTTTGTTGCAGGTTGTTCTGATGACATTGACAGTATATGTTGAATGGGTGTCTTTGCATTACATATTCTCAAATGATGGCAAGCTCTTACAATCTTATGTTTTCTACTAAGTCAAGACAGTCTCAAGATGGAAGCTGCAGAATGCTCTTACAGGTATGTTTCTTTAACCGGATTATGATACTGTACTAGGAAATATTAGTGGTGATTTTCATATTTTCTTTTCCGTTTTATGTTTATTGAGGTGACTTTTTTGACTTTTATGTCTTATAAAAGTATGTTGTACTTGTGTAAAAACTTATTTGTAGCTGTAAGAGCAGAGTGATACTATTGGTATCTCAGTCCAGTTATCTGAATGATGGTGAAGTGTTTCTTGTATGGGTCACCTTACCTTGGTGGAGATGGCCATAGTGTTAAAAAAAAAGCCACATATGGAAATGGAGGAAACAGTAACAGGTCCCTTCAAGAACATTGACTTTGTGATGAAATATTGATAACATCAGTCAGAGAGAAGGATCTAGGAGTCATTGCTGAGAAAAGATTATCACTAGATTCACTAGATCATGTAAATGAAATTGTGAAAAACTTGTATACTACACTGGCTAACTTTAAAATAGCATTTAGATATATGGATAGGGTAAATGCTAAAAACAACTCTTCACAACATGTGTTGGCCCAAAATTAAAATACAGTATGTAGTGTTAGGGGGTGGCTGCACTTGAAAGTCGTGGGGACAAGCTACAAATATTCCAAAAATAGGCCGCTGTTACCTTTACGTGTAGTTGATTTGTTGAAGAAATTATATTTTAATCATACATATTTAAATGAACAGATTGTGAGCCGCAAAGGCAAACCAGATGAGCGACGTCCATTGTTACTGTTATTTGGAGAGGCCCCTATGTCAGCTGTGTTTAATGCAGCAGACCAGGCAGTGCTGGGCGAACTCAGTGAGCACAATTACAGATTCCTTAAAACACTCACACAGGTAAGGCTAAGTCAGTTTTTTATTAAGCTGTCATGTGTGAAAAGAAAAGCATGTTTTATACGAGAGAACTGTACTTTAAGGATAACTATTGCTTCATTTATATTGTCATTTGGGTTTCTCCATTCTTCTAGCTCTTAATATTAATGGTCTTGATGAAGGAATGAAGTTTATGAAATGTCTCTCATATCTTCTAAAGAATTTTTCCTTTTTTTTCAAACATGAGTTCTTTCTTCTTTTGGTTATACTAATTGTTTAATTAAAAGAGGGTGGTATGAGTTAGAAATTTTGTTTATTTTACTAAAAAAAGTTTGTTTTTCTTGAAATGTCATTTATAGTGAGCATATTTGTTTCTTCATGAACCCATTGCTGCAAGTTCTGCTTTGGTTAGATATTTTTAGCACTTTATTTACATCCCCATATTCTGTTTTCTCATTTATACACTTCAGTCATATATTTTTTAACACACCGGCTGTCTTCCACTGAGATAGAGTGACCCAAAAAAGAAGGAAACACTTACCATCACTCACTTCTTCACTGTTTTTCAGAGTGCAGGCACTGTGCTTCCCACTTTCAGGACTCAAGTCCTGCCAACTGTTTTCTCTGAATCTCTATAAATGTTAACCTGCTCACAATCCAAGAGCACGTTAAGTCATAAAAAACACTTGCCTCCACTCCTATCTAACATGCTCACACTACTGTTGCTGGATGTCTAAGCCCTTGCACACAAAAATATTTAGCTTCCAGATCTCGGGCAACTGCTCCATGTTTAACGATCTGTAGATCTTCGTTTGGGGTTCAGACAGTGCTTCTGCTCCCTCTCACAGAATCCATGGTGATGTTCTGTCAGCTTTCACTGCCTTGGATATACAGTGGACCCTCGGTTATCGGCTGTAATCTGTTCCAGAAGGTTGGCCTAAAACCGAAATGGCCGAAAACCGAAATAACATTTCCCATGAGAATTAATGTAAATACTATTAATCTGTTCCAGACACCCAAAAATATTAACAAGAAATACATTTTTTAAAGATTAATTATAGTTTTACATACACAAAGCAATGAGAACTAAATAAAATAAATAAATTAACATTTAAATCACTATTACATACCTTTATTGAAGACACATGTTGGCTTTTGGAAGACAGAGGAGGAGAGAGGGAGGACTGATTATTGTTTGAAAGGGGAATCCCCCTTCATAAGGACTTCAGGTATCAAAGCCCTCTCTGGGGTTATGTCCCTTCTTTGTCTTTTACTGCTACTAGGACCAGCTTGAGAGTCACTGCACCCCTGTTGCACAAAAAAACTGCCCACAGAGCTCTGTTTCTGGCATCTTTTTAAGATTTCCCTGAAGTGGAACAAGGTTTTGTCACTGAACATATTGCAGATATGGCTTGTTTCAGCTTGGTCAGGGTGATATTTCTCCACAAAAGTTTGCACCTCCCTCCACTTTGCACACATGTCCTTAATCACTGAAGAAGGCACATTCTTCCCTCTCCCTTTCTCCTTCTGTGAAGCAATTTCCTCAGCTGTGGTTTGTTGCTGTTGCACATGAAGCTCTTGCAGCTCTTCAGTGGTTAGCTCTTCCCAGTGGTCCTCCGCCAACTCTTCCACATCCTCGCCACTAACCTCCAACCCCATGGACTTTCCCAAAGACACAATAGATTCCACAACAGGCATAGGGTCCTCAGGGTCAGCCCCAAACCCTTCAAAATCCTTGTTGAGGACATGCTGGCCACAATTTTCTCCAAGCATAGCTCAAAGTCCTGGAAGTCACTCCCTGCCAAGCATTGCCTATAAGGCTTATGCACTGGAGGATTTTGAAGCGATTCCTCCAGAACTCTCTTAGCGTTAAGTCATTATCCGAGGTCACTTCAAAGCATCTTTGAAACACTGCTTTCGTGTAGAGTTTTTGAAGTTAGAAATGACCTGCTGGTCCTTGGGCTGGATGAGAGGAGTGGTGTTAGGAGGCAAGAACTTCACTGTTATAAAACTGAAGCCCCTAAACAATTGGTTTTCCAAGTCTGGAAGATGAGCAGGAGCATTGTCCAGTACCAGGAGACACTTGAGTGGGAATTTATTTTCCTGGAGGTATTTTTTCACACTGGGGCCAAGCACTTCATGGACCCAGTCAATAAAAATGTGCCTTGTGACCCATCCCTTATTATTAACCCCTTGACTGTCGCAACCCCAAATCACGAGGTGTCTCCTGGTGTCACAAAATTTCCGAAAAAAAAAGTTATTTTTTCATATGAAATGATAGAGAATCTTTTCCCAATTGTAATGACACCAAAACAATGAAATTTGGTGGAAAACTGAGGGAATTACACTCTCGCAAAGTTAGTGACCTCGGCGATATTTATGAATCCACGATTTTGTCCACTTTGAGCCCTATTTTCGGCTAATTTCATTGTTCCAGTCAACCAAACTCATAGCTATTTCTTTAGAACTCCATTTTACTATTGATTGAGTACAAGAAACTGCCCACTTACCGATTTCAACTACCCAATAACGTGGTCAGAAATTTGCAATTTGGCCAATTTCTTGAAAATCAAAAAATATGACAATTTCAAAATAGGGTCCAGAATGAACAATGCAGACATTCCTGGCTCTAAAATAACATTTTCTTTGTTCATCAGTCACGTCTCCAGGCCCATCTAATATTACTCTTGCTTTCTATTTTGAATTTTTATTCAAACAAAAAATAGAAGATTTATTGTTATGCAGACTACTGCAATATTGTAATACAGTGGACCCCCGGTTAACGATTTTAATCCGTGCAAGAGGGGTAATTGTTATGCGAAATAATCGTTATGTGAATGAATTTTCCCCATAAGAAATAATGGAAATAAAATTAATCCGTGCAAGACACCCAAAAGTATGAAAAAAAATTTTTTTTTACCACATGAAATATTAATTTTAATACACACAAACTGAAAAAGGCATGCACACTTACATGACACTTACTTTTATTGAAGATCTGGTGATGATTGATGGGATGGGAGGAGGGGAGAGCATTATCTTCTTACTGTTAGAAGGGGAATCCCCTTCCATTAGGACTTGAGGTAGTAAGTCCTTTTCTGGGGTTACTTCCCTTCTTCTTTTAATGCCACTAGGGCCAGCTTCAGAGTCACTGGACTTCTTTCGCACAAGATATCTGTCCATAGTGGCCTGTACCTCTCGTTCCTTTATCATTCCCTAAAGTGTTTCACAACATTGTCAGTGTACAGGTTGCCAACACGGCTTGCAATAGCTGTGTGAGGGTGATTTTCATCCATGAAGGTTTGCACTTCAAGCCACTTTGCACAGATTTCCTTTATCTTTGTAGTAGGCAACTTCTTCAATTTTCTCTCTCCCCTCCTCTGAACCAGTTTCCCCAGGTCTGGCCTCTTGCTGTTGAAGTTGATCTATCAGCTCATCAGTGGTTAGTTCTTCATTGTCCTCCTCCACCAACTCTTCCACATCCTCCCCACTAACCTCCAACCCCAAGGACTTTCCAATGCCACAATGGATTCCTCAACTGGCACAGGATTCTCAGGGTTAGCCTCAAACCCTTCAAAATCCCTTTTGTCTACACATTCTGGCCACAGTTTCTTCCAAGCAGAGTTCAAGGTCCTCTTAGTCACTTCCTCCCAAGCCTTACCTATAAGGTTTTTACACAATTGAGGATATTAAAGTGATCTCTCCAAAACTCTCTTAGAGTCAGTTGAGTTTCTGAGGTCATTACAAAGCACCTTTCAAACAGAGCTTTTGTGTACATTTTTCTTGAAGTTGGAAATAACCTGCTGGTTCCATGGGCTGCAGGAGAGGATGTTGGTATTAGGAGGCAAAAACTTCACCTTAATGAAGCTCATGCCCCATAAAGTCGCTCTGCCAGTCTGTAGGATGACCAGGGGCATTGTCTAACACCAGGAGGCACTTAAGTTCTAATTTCTTTTCAGTTAGGTAATCTTTCACATTGGGGGCAAATGCAGGGGTGTAACCAGTTATAGAAAAATTCCCTAGTGACCCATGCCTTACTGTTTGCCCCCACAGCACACACAAATTATCCTTGAGGACATTCTTTTGCCTGAACGCTCTGGAGTTTCAGAGTGATACACTAATAAAGGCTTCACTTTGCAATCACCAGTAGCATTGGCACACATGAGAAGAGTAAGCCTGTCTTT